GAACTAGGAAAAGAAAGTGTATGCATTGACAATTTTTAATAAAGAAGTTTCAACCCTCTACAATATATGGAGCTGTACTTCATAACAAACTCCATACCTGATAGAAATGAGGAAAAAAGAGCTGCAAGACAATTCAGAAGAGAAAAATTTAAAAGGCAAAGAACTACCAAATTCACTTAACAGGACAGAATAATGTAGTTTGTTTTATTTTGATAAATTTCATAACAACTTCAGAAGAATCAGCAAGTCTCTTTCTACTACCTTCCAGCAGGTAACAGAGACACCACCATCAGGTGAGGAAGCGCACCTTTCTCTTCCACTGTTACATTTTGGCTTCTCTGTGATAAGTTTTCAATCACCAAATTCTCATACAAAGTATCTCTGGTGATATTCTCCAAGTGAAAATTACCAGAGTTTAGAGCATGTTTCTAACAGTACCAAACAGAAGACACTGACAGCAGAAAGCATTTCACTCTGTGAGCTATGGTTACCAGGATGAACTCCACAGTGCCATTACAGTGAAATGATTTTTTTAAGCAGTCTGAGGATCTGAGCAATTGCTACATAATTAAACTAAAAGCTTTCGACTACACGTCTGAGCACACATTTTTCATCGCTTGACATTTTTTGGTCCATCCAAACACTGCAAAGGGAACACTGATCATTATAAACCTGCCACTTGTACATTCTGAAACTGCCAAATTCAGATCTTAGACCAGCAATAAATACACCATTAGTGAACCTAAAGCAGCAGCCTAAGGTCTAATTTTACAACTTCTGAATCTCCAAATTTTCAACAATTAAAAAAAAAATCAATACAAATGTTAAGATTGAACAAGTAAAGGAACGTGACATGAGGAAAACTGATTGTAACAAAATGAAGCATTTTCTATCCAATAATTAAAGTTTCAATGTGCATAAATGCTTGAAAGAAATCTTATTAAGTATATTTAACATTCTATTTCACAGACAAGATAAAATCATTTTATTGAGACAAATTTGCTCATGCTGGCATTTAAAATCTCAGATAAAAACAAAAAACAATGGAGTGAAAGAAGTTTTATGATTAACCTTCTGGAACTTCAGCATCAGTGTGACTGTACTTAACACCTTCTGTAAAACAATGCTCAAAAACCCTTTTTTCTTTTAGCTAAGGCTTCAGAGTATTTTTGACAAGTTAATCAATACCCTCATAAATGAATGATATGCTGAAGGAAATAATCTTACATAGCATGGACACATGCTGTGTATTCCATTAATTTACTTGTAAACGTCAGAACTTTCTGTTCACCGCTTTACACTTCAGAACACTGACAAACTCAATCTCTCTGCACTGCATAGTGTTCTACCTCAGTAACCGTTATATTCCTATTGGTCCTTGCTCTGGTGTTTTCTTCAGCTTTCGTTTGTTTTGAGGGCTTTGTTGGGGGTTTTTTTTGTGAGATCATTTATTTTCTAACCAGTTAAGCAGCCCACCGTGCCAAATAAGGGCATTCTTAATTACATCTTAAGATGTAAGCCATATGATGCCTTCATGCATGTACTCCCCATTGGTAAGAACGGGAGCTCTCTACATGAAGTCTGACACATGCTTCCCCCACCCTACTTCGTTACAAATAAAATATTTACAATACTAGAAAAGAACAAACAGTTGAACAATTGGTTAATTGGTTAGTACCTAACACTAGTATTGCCAGTTGCAGCATAATTCAGCTAACAAACTTCATTAAATATCAGGTTTACTCCTGGCCGCTTAAAGGGTTTTTATCACAACAATGCATTGTTTAACAGCAAACAAAGAAACTTGGTCATTCCAATCCATACAAACATACATTTCGACAAAAACAAAGAGGAAAAAAATTACTATAATGATGCCACTTTTCACAAAAATACTACAGTAAATTTTATCAGTATGTGCATTAGGAAATGGTATATAAGTTTCTAGGTTGATAAATTAATTTATACGTGAAAGATCCTAGAAAATCCCACCGAATTTAAGCACCAACTGTACCAAAGATACAAATAACACTCAACAAGCCTGCAACCAGAAAACAAAAACAAAATGTAAGGGAAATAAATTTTATTTGGTATTATCCTATTACATAACCATTTAATCTTAGAGTTGTTTGAATGTCACTCATCCAAGTATTTAAAAAAAAACCCACATCACATGATGTATGAAATAATAACTTTTTCTCCAAAGAAAAACAGTTTAAGTATCCTTTGGCTTAAACTAAAGGATTTCAGAAAAACACTGCAAAACAGCTTCATTAAATGTATAGACAAGCATCCCATTGTGCCTTTGACAGACCGACAGAACTGCAAACAAAAGGGTAATTTGGTCGAGTTCAATCTCAACTTCGTCCCCAAGTTTGAGAGTTTGCTTCTTTATAAATAAAGCAATTAACAGTAACAGCTTTCACATTAAGGATCACACAGATAAATAAGAAACCAGGAGACAGCTTCATAGGTGTATACTTCCTGTCCCTCCTTGCAGTTTCCTGTCACATAAAATATATTAAAAAAAGACAAAAAACCACAAAACCCAGCCAACCATCACTGAACTGCTTACAGATCAGGTTTAAAAGAGGAATGTATCCTTAATTTGCAAATGAGCAACGATTAAGCCACCTTAAATGTCTTCCTGGTTCATACGAAATCGCATTTTCACTTGTTGAGACACAAGAGATATTTATAAGCCTTTCCAATACAAATTCAAACTAGTTAGTTTAAAAATGTAACCTCTCTTTAAATGCATACACAGTGTTTATATTAAAAAAGATTTACGAGACTAGACAGCCCACTATTTGAACAGTGAAATCTCACATCACCCTATTTATGACAATACTAGCAGCAGAAGTAGTATCACTCTACAGTTGGGATCATAAGACTAGACAAGACAGCATGACTTCCAGCTCATTTTGTACGAAAAGTTCTTCAGTCTGCAAAGCATTTTAAGTGCAGGGCTATACAAAATTCCTCATTCCAAGAATTAGTTAAAATTCACTGTACAGAGTGAGATGTTCCCACAGTAAGGTCCCAAAGTCAGGCAGAAAAAGACAGATCCTAAAAAGAGTCTGTAAGTTCACCTGTCTTGGTTTTTTTAAATTATGAACTAGGAAAAGAAAGTGTATGCATTGACAATTTTTAATAAAGAAGTTTCAACCCTCTACAATATATGGAGCTGTACTTCATAACAAACTCCATACCTGATAGAAATGAGGAAAAAAGAGCTGCAAGACAATTCAGAAGAGAAAAATTTAAAAGGCAAAGAACTACCAAATTCACTTAACAGGACAGAATAATGTAGTTTGTTTTATTTTGATAAATTTCATAACAACTTCAGAAGAATCAGCAAGTCTCTTTCTACTACCTTCCAGCAGGTAACAGAGACACCACCATCAGGTGAGGAAGCGCACCTTTCTCTTCCACTGTTACATTTTGGCTTCTCTGTGATAAGTTTTCAATCACCAAATTCTCATACAAAGTATCTCTGGTGATATTCTCCAAGTGAAAATTACCAGAGTTTAGAGCATGTTTCTAACAGTACCAAACAGAAGACACTGACAGCAGAAAGCATTTCACTCTGTGAGCTATGGTTACCAGGATGAACTCCACAGTGCCATTACAGTGAAATGATTTTTTTAAGCAGTCTGAGGATCTGAGCAATTGCTACATAATTAAACTAAAAGCTTTCGACTACACGTCTGAGCACACATTTTTCATCGCTTGACATTTTTTGGTCCATCCAAACACTGCAAAGGGAACACTGATCATTATAAACCTGCCACTTGTACATTCTGAAACTGCCAAATTCAGATCTTAGACCAGCAATAAATACACCATTAGTGAACCTAAAGCAGCAGCCTAAGGTCTAATTTTACAACTTCTGAATCTCCAAATTTTCAACAATTAAAAAAAAAATCAATACAAATGTTAAGATTGAACAAGTAAAGGAACGTGACATGAGGAAAACTGATTGTAACAAAATGAAGCATTTTCTATCCAATAATTAAAGTTTCAATGTGCATAAATGCTTGAAAGAAATCTTATTAAGTATATTTAACATTCTATTTCACAGACAAGATAAAATCATTTTATTGAGACAAATTTGCTCATGCTGGCATTTAAAATCTCAGATAAAAACAAAAAACAATGGAGTGAAAGAAGTTTTATGATTAACCTTCTGGAACTTCAGCATCAGTGTGACTGTACTTAACACCTTCTGTAAAACAATGCTCAAAAACCCTTTTTTCTTTTAGCTAAGGCTTCAGAGTATTTTTGACAAGTTAATCAATACCCTCATAAATGAATGATATGCTGAAGGAAATAATCTTACATAGCATGGACACATGCTGTGTATTCCATTAATTTACTTGTAAACGTCAGAACTTTCTGTTCACCGCTTTACACTTCAGAACACTGACAAACTCAATCTCTCTGCACTGCATAGTGTTCTACCTCAGTAACCGTTATATTCCTATTGGTCCTTGCTCTGGTGTTTTCTTCAGCTTTCGTTTGTTTTGAGGGCTTTGTTGGGGGTTTTTTTTGTGAGATCATTTATTTTCTAACCAGTTAAGCAGCCCACCGTGCCAAATAAGGGCATTCTTAATTACATCTTAAGATGTAAGCCATATGATGCCTTCATGCATGTACTCCCCATTGGTAAGAACGGGAGCTCTCTACATGAAGTCTGTCAACTAGGTTATGTCAGAAGGGTTTATCTTAGATCTTCATTCATTACCAAAGAGGCTGTTTGAAGAAAAGCTTACAAAAGAATGATGCATACAGAGAAAATTACTCAGCTCTCTTTCACTGTACTGGCCAGTTTAGAAGACGAAGTAATATTCAGTTGGCAACCTTTTACATTGCCACTCCAATATCAATGCTTCCAATAAACACATTT